CTCTTCCAGTCTCAGGGTCCCTGGCATAAACCCCTTCTGCAATACAGAGGCTCTCAGGGTTCACATGCTCCACTAGTTCCACTTTAAAGCCCCTTGAGAATGTCACCATCCTAATCGTTAGGAACTTAAATCAGTGTTTCAAACTGTATTTATTCATTCCTACTTCTTCTTCAGTGCTTCCAATTCTGTACCTTAAAAAATAGTAACCTTTCCCTCTCTGGTGTTTATATCTGGAATGTATTTAAAGACTGTGATAAAATCTATCTTGGTGCTCCTAGGCAGAACAAGTTGGACTCTTCTTGTCCATCCCCTGATTATCCCAGTTAGATTATTTTCTTTAGCTGTCCCATTTTTTCTTCAGCTTGCTTGAAAATGGGTTATCCACACTAAAAAATAAAGCATTTCAGACCAGGGCTCAGGCAGACTTTAACAGTGGCTTTGGTACATTCCTATCCTACCAGAAATTCTTCTAAGACTTCTCTCAAAGCTACCCAGAGTCAGTACCTCAGTGGCTCCTAAATAGGATTCCCACTTCATTCAGCAGAGCATCCCATGATGAGAAAGCATTACCAGCGATATGGTGTTTAAACCATATTCTTAAGTGCTCTTTCATTACTAACATCACAAAGTGATTGAGCCAAGAACTTGCCTGAACTTACTGGCAACACCCAGGTAGGAGCTCCTCAGCTTCAGCAGATTGTTGTATCTCAGCTGATCCCCATCTGGTATAACTAATCTTATCACTATTGAACTGAATGGGATTATGGCAGGTTATACCAGCAAAGAAGCTGCCTCTCTGGAGTCTTAGATTTCGCCTCATTCATGCTGCTGTATAATGTAATTAGTGTACCAAGACAGATGTTATACCATGTAATTTCTTGGAATGCATTCTGGTTTATGTTGTGAAAATAAAATTTGGGATATTGTTTATAAAGTACATGAGAAAGTCCATATCCTGATAGAGTTGAAATTGGATTATAAATGTTATAAAACAGAAATTTATGTAATCTGTTTAGTATAAAATTTAGTTAATTGAAAAAAATTACTTGGTTTGTATGGCACTTTTTGGGGCAAGGTGGGCATAATAAATCACCACAGGACACTGAACTATTTTTAAATATCAGGTTTGGATAAGATATTGCAGATATGTATCTTGAATTGAAAACCTAGACAACAGCTAAATCTGTAATATTATATTTTAAAATGAAATAACAAACTGCATTTTGAATTCAGGTCTTCACTGGAATCTTCACAGCAGAAATGTTTCTCAAGATAATTGCAATGGATCCTTACTATTATTTCCAGGAAGGCTGGAATATTTTTGATGGTTTTATTGTAACCCTTAGCTTGGTTGAGCTTGGTCTTGCAGATGTGGAAGGACTCTCAGTTCTTCGATCATTCAGATTGGTAAATATACATCAATTGCACTGATTTTTCAATGGGGCTTCATTAAAATAATATAATTTTTTTGCCTTAAAAATATGCTTGATGTTTGCCATGGTACTGATCCAGATGTCTCTTTCATTAGTACAAATCCTTATTACTTGTGGTATCTTACTGTCTTCAACAGAAATTGATAGAGATCCAGACAAACAGATAGCAATGGGTGCCCTGGGCCTATTTACAATGTATTTGTTGTATGTACACAGTTTTGTTTCTGCATAGCAGGGTGATTAAACGACTCACTAGACGTATTGTGGTCTGATTGCCATCACAGGAATAGATCTGCTCTACAAATACCAGGAGAAAAGTGGCCCAGGTGATTTTACCAGAGAAACCCTAGATTTTAAATTCCATATATGACTGGTAGCTTCTTTGGCCTTTAGTAAAAACTATGCTTTGAGGGTATGAAGCTCTAACTTCACAAAATTTTGTTGTCCAAACCTTCCTTCTTCATGCTTTTAGACAAGAGGATACCCTCTGAACAGTCGTACTCAGGGCATATTTTGCAGTAACATCCTTCCACAAATTAACTTTAAAATATCTTTGTGTCTCTCTTGCTGGTTGTCCTAACAATATTTTTCTTTTCTTCCAGTTGCGAGTTTTCAAACTGGCAAAATCTTGGCCAACACTAAATATGCTGATAAAAATTATTGGTAACTCTGTGGGAGCTCTCGGTAATCTGACCCTGGTGCTGGCCATCATTGTGTTCATTTTTGCTGTGGTTGGGATGCAGCTGTTTGGGAAAAACTACAAGGAATGTGTCTGCAAAATTGCAAGTGACTGTGTACTTCCACGCTGGCACATGCAAGATTTTTTTCACTCTTTCTTGATCGTATTCCGAGTGCTGTGTGGAGAATGGATAGAAACGATGTGGGACTGCATGGAGGTTGCTGGCCAAGCCATGTGCCTTACGGTCTTTATGATGGTCATGGTGATTGGAAACCTAGTGGTATGTAATCAAAGCATTAGCAAAAAAATGTTTGGCAATAGAGTGGGCTTAATCCTGAAGTGAACTAAGTGCTCTGGCTCTGCTTCAACAAAGCACTTACACAGGTGGCTTCAAGCAATGCTTAAAGTTAAGCTTAAGAGCCTTTTTGGATGGAGAACAAAGTATTCTGCAGTACCAAAAATCCTAAAAATGTTAGAGTGAGCACTTAGTCACATTCTTCAATTGTCTTTTGGCTCTCTGTAAATAATTTTGTGCTTCAAATAATTTTAGTTTATGGGCTCTTTATAAAACATTTGCTGTGCATTTTTTTATTATTCATCCCGTATGATTAGTCACACAAATAATCCACTTTCTGTTGTGTGATGTGATAAATTAAACTTTTTAATGATGCCAAATAGAAAATCTGCTATCTCCATTTTTAGATTATAAGATTTTGGACCAAAATACTGTGGGCATTTAAAGACACATTTACAGATATTAGTCAGTTGTAAGAATATTTTTGAATAGTGAACAGGATCTAAGTAAAATTTTAAAAGCTTTATTTTTTATGGAGAAGAGAAAAAGTATTGAGGGGGCTTTTCTTTGGTTACGGTGAATTGTTGGGATTTCAGTCTTCGATGTCACTAATATGACAATTTTTAGTGAAGTAAATGTTGGGATAAAGTCTGAAATAGCCTTTTTTATCTTTCTGCAGGTACTGAACCTATTTTTGGCCTTGCTCTTGAGCTCATTTAGTGCAGACAACCTTGCTGTGACAGATGATGACAATGAAATGAATAATCTCCAAATTGCTGTAGCAAGAATGCAGAAGGGCATAGATTATGTGAAAAGAAAAGCACGCGAATTCATCCAAAAAGCTTTTGTTAAAAAACAAAAAGCTTTAGATGAAATCAAGCCACTTGAAGATTTGAACAACAAAAATAGCTGTATTTCTAACCATACAACTGGGGGACTAAGCAAGGACCATGACTATATTAAAGATGCAAATGGAACAACTAGTGGCATAGGCACAGGTAGCAGTGTGGAAAAATACATAATTGATGAAAGTGATTACATGTCATTCATAAACAATCCAAGCCTCACTGTGACAGTGCCCATTGCTGTGGGTGAATCCGACTTTGAAAATCTAAACACAGAGGAATTTAGTAGTGAATCAGACCTGGAAGAAAGCAAAGAGGTATTTAGATATTTTGTGCATTTCTCTCTGATATTTTGAGTATTTTTCTTTTTTTCAGCATAAGCCAGTGTATTCAGTCCTTGATCATTTGTTATTTTGACACTTTGTATGTGGGCATAAATGAAGGTATAAAGGAGGGTTTAATTCTTGATGAACAAAAGCATGAGAAAGGGTTAAAAATTAGTCTCCAAGAGGAGATAAGAGGCCAGGCAATGGGAGACCAGACTAATCCGTTAGAACCTTTTATGGTCCACACGGTAGTTGCAACAGCTCGTGGAGCAGAGCAGTGCCTTAGCTACATCCTTATTGCACCAGAAATTTCTGTTTGCCTCTGGTAACAAAGCTCCCATGAGGCACATCACACATCTCTTGTCTCTGCCACTCAAAAAATCCCCCTCTATTTTTTTTTTTTTTTTGTGAGCATGTATAAACCAGAAAACATTTAGGGAGTTTATGCATTTCCTTTAGACATTGGAATTCTTTTAGATTTTAAAACTGTCAGCTCTTCTAGACCTAGATTCCCATGAAAAGAAGTTTTAACCATAGACTCTTACATAAGCTTCAAAATCAGTTAAAACTGTAAAATAGTATCAACAGATGAAAATATCTCATGTTGCTAAGGGAATGACAATGCAGGCTGTAGATATAAAGCCTTGTTGAGAACTGTATTTGAAAAAAAAAAAAAAAGAAAAAAAATAAAAACCAAAAATCAAACCATATTAAGGCTATAACTGTTCCTTTGCATGACTTTCTGTTTGTGGCTATTTTAACAAAATAGTTTAAATTGACTTGATAACATAATTTGCTAAACAACTACACCCTCAGTGACTTAGTTTGTTGACGTTTTAGTCAAATCAGAAAATTATCTTTCCAGACACTTAAGAAAATTAATTTTCTGAGTTGAGGAACCTCAACGTTAAATTAGCTAGCTTCCATTCTGGTAATGATACAGTTTCTTTGTGGAATAGCTCATCCTCCTCCACCACTGTTGTATTGCTAGCAGTACTTCAGACATCTAATTTTAGGCTAACTGAATTCTGTACTGCCGTTACTTCAGTGTGCATAAGCCATCTATTGTTCTCAACAAAAACACCAGTGTTACGCTAAGTGAAATCTTTGGATCCTCTCCCCATGGCAACCTATTTCAGAAACAGTGTTGTTCCCATTTCCCAATTAAAATCGGAAGCATTAATATTTCTTTTCCTGTTAAATATTAGACAAAATGTCTTAGAATTTGGCTTTGACTCAAGCTTTTGAACCGCTGCCACAATAAAGGTTGTAAGAATGTATTTGAGCACATTATGAACTTGCCCCAGCAGGAAGGATCTCTAAATAAAACATTTAAACAGAGATCCATTGGAGGAAAACAACGACTTGCCATCTGCTCTCCCCACAACCACCTTAATGATGGCTAGTCCAGCCCAGTCTTCCAGCCCATCACATAGCAGGCAGTCAAATGGAGTGACACAAGCTGGTTTACGACTGACCAACATATTCAGTTTAGGAAAGCTTTCTGTAAGTGTGCTCCTCCCTGTAGGACCAGGGTTACCTTTTATCCCATTGAGAAAGTACTATGACATTTCTGACTTCCTCCAGAAGCTTATGAAAGAGCAGCTCTGTTGTATAGTTTTCCATGGAAAATCCATTGAGCAGTGCTGTTTTGGATTTGAATCCAACTCCTTATTTTACATTGACTGTTAGTATAATGGGACTGTAGAAAAGAAATTATGAACACCAGAACAGCAGAACCTTTGAATTAGCTGAATTTTTGATTGGAGCCCACTTAGAAAAGACTGTGGATTTTCTACTTGTCGGGCCAGAGGACACTCACAGGGGAGTTCCAGCTGGCTTCAGACAATACTGATATTTTCAGCACCATTCCTGAATGTTTGGGTCAGATCTAAAAGTGGGGGTGTTGGTGGGGGTTTTGTCTGGTTGGTTTAGTTTGTTTTTCAGCAGAATACTCTTTTCTCCCTTAGTGGGAGAAAATGGATGATTTGTGAAAATTGGATTACTAGAAGTATACAATATTTTTGTAAAAATATCAGATAAGCAACTCTCTAATGTAATTTGGAAAAAAATCCTCTATAAATTGGTTCTTATGACAAATAATGACAGAGCCTGAAACTGGATACATCAACCCATTTTCCTGATAAAGTTAAAACATTGTTATTCCAATCTGTGTAGTCACCTCAAGATGAAATTAACTAAAAACTGGCTACTTAAGATATTACAATTTTTATTCAATGTCATGCAACTCAATGAGTCCTAGAATTGTTACTCAACAACAGACTGGCTACTGCTTTAGTAAGTTTTTTTGCTAGGGTTTGGGGATTTTTTTTGTCTTCAATATCAAAAAGCCTGATGCAACTTAGCATTGATGAACCTGTATTGCATTTATTCCATTATTTTGTTTACCTCTACATCCTTAAATAAGTTTCCTTCTGAATTTTTACCCAATCTTTAGCCACAATGCCAACCAGCTAGACTTCAATGAAGTCCCAGCTGCATTGAGAATTTTTAGGATAGGATAGGATTAGCTTAAGTGCATTCAGTTTTTAAAAATTTGGTTTCCACTTTCCATTTCTCTTTCTTTATGCACATCGTATTACTGAAAATTTGATTAGGTTATAAAACACAATCTGATGTTTTATGGGCCATCTTTAATCTATCTCAGCCTTATTGCACGCAGCATCTGCTTCCCTCTGAGATAGACTTCCAGCAATTTTAATCTGGACTTGCTGACCTCTAAAGTATAGCCTTCTCTGCTGATCAGTGTGTTTTTCCCTCATTCCTCTGAGCTCCCACCTCTTTTATATACTTATATTTAGGCTCTTACCTGCTTTTCAGTAGATGCTACAGATTCTGCATATATATTTAAGCTTCATTATTTCTATGTAGGTCAAGAGACCATTGCCACTTATGGTTAGTTGTGGTCATAAATCTTTGCAGGCTTAGCATAATTTTTCATATTTTTTAGTTTAAAGCATAATCTTGCTTCAAGCCTTAACTATCACTGATACACCTTCTATTTAATGGATCCATACAATGCAGAAGGAAGACCAAAGATTGTACAAATTTCACACATGTTTATCACATATGTTGAATACTAGAACATTCAAAAACATGGCAGAATTATTTACTTATTCTGAAAACAACTAATATTTGCCTTGAAAATATTTTCTGTGCATTTGAGTTGCTTTTCTTTTTTTTTTCTTTACAGAAGTTAAATTTGTCTAGTTCATCTGAAGGTAGCACAGTTGATATTGGACTTCCTGCAGAAGAGCAACCAGAAGCTGAACCTGAAGAAGCCCAGGAGCCAGAGGCCTGCTTCACAGAAGGTGTTTGGAACAAAAATGCTAATAATACTTATCCATTAAACATGGAATAATTATATATTTAAACTAAGTAATATTTATGTATTGAATTACGCTTTTGTTAATGTTTCAACTATGATTATTAGCAGAAGTACTTTTAGACCATAATTTACCATCTGAATTCAGTATCCCAAACAAAAGAAAGTACAATTTAGTTAACACTTGTCCATATCTTAATACATAGACCTACTATACATTTGGATGAGTTTGTATTTTTTTATTCACATTTGTATTTTGTAATTGGGCTTCATGTTCCATGGACTTTTATCTTTTTGTGTGCACCATATTGAGCACTTACTTCTTGATAAATTAGAAGTACTTTCTTCTCACTTGTTCATTTAACTGTGAACTCCAATTGTCTCAGTGTTACATTTTTTTTGCTTTGGAGAAAGAGAAGGTCATCTAGGTGAAAATCTATTGTCTTTTTACTAAATAGCATAGCTTCTAGAAAGGTAGCATTGTATCATTAACAGAATGATAACTAAAATTAATGCAAGTCAAGAATTTTTGCTGTTGTTTTTTAACCTTCATACATACACTGTTTCAAAGGCTGTGTACGAAGATTCAAGTGCTGTCAAGTAAGTATAGAAGAAGGGAGAGGAAAGCAGTGGTGGAACCTTAGAAAAACCTGCTTCAAGATTGTTGAACACAACTGGTTTGAGACTTTCATTGTCTTTATGATTCTCCTCAGCAGTGGAGCTCTGGTAAGTAAAACATGAACAGAGTGTCACAGTGGTGTCAGAAAACTTCTTAGAAGTTGGCTCTGCAAACATTAACTTAGTTTTCTCCACCAGAAGGAATACGCAATTCCATGTCTTCAAATGACAGGACTAAATTTTAGTCAGGCCTTTGAAAGAATGGTAGAAAAAGTATCTTCTCAACAATATGTTGAAAAAACAACAGACATAATTGATTAGAGAGAGCTTAACTCCTTTGCTGAAAGTAATAGTGATATGCCTGAAGCAGGGAGAGAGACGACATGCAAAGAAGAGAACATATTTATCTTTGTTATTTGAGTTTGCTCTCTAGTTTTACTCGTGTTTACTGATATAACTCAGGGAAAAGAACTGTCTGAAAAAGAAGAGTTTGGAAGTAACTGTAATGGCATAAACAACTCATAATACCTTGCAAGAGGCAAGGCTGGCTTATTCAGTCATATAAATGTTATGTGCTAGAACAGCAAGAAAGATTAAGACTGTTTGTAATTATTTCCTTCGAAGAAGAAGAATTTATTCCTTATGCTTCTAATTCAGCTTCTACTGACATACTCATGTGGACTAAAGGGATATCTGTAAAAACATGAATTTGCTTGAAGTTTAACAAGTGTGAGGGCAGAATAAAAAGAAGCCAACCATAATATAATTCTTAACAATAAAAGAAACAAAACATATCACTAATATGTTATTTCACAAATACCAATAATGACAAAAAAAAATAAAGAAATTGGAGATGAGATGGATACATGCTGAAGTTTCTTAGGCAAACTACTTGCCCTGAGATAACACAGACTATACCTAGCATCTACCCTGGTAGATGCAATTACCCTTTGGTAAATTAATTAAGTTCCTACATAATAAATGAAAATTATGTTCAAAAATTGTTTTATAAAGTCCTTAGACCACTCCCAACACTTTAAAACACCGTTAATGGTTAGCAGTTTATGACTATACCTATCATTAGTTTCAGTTAAATCTTTAAGAATCATTCTGCTTTTGTTTGGTCTAATATCAACACAAACATCAAAAAAGCAATTTTTATGCAACACCGTGTGACTCCTTCCCTGTGATTTAAAACCCTTGAAATAACAAAAGACTCACATCTATGCTATTGAATTTTTGTTCATGCTACCAAGTGGGGAAAACCTTTATTGACAAGAATTTAAATGACATAAAAATACTGGCAGGAGATCTGATAAAGGTGAATTTCTGTCATTGCATTTAGAGGAAGTTTGAGATGAGATCCCACAGCGTTAGTATCTCTCTCTTGTGAACCTAAGGTGTGTGTCATCCACAGAGCACTTATTTTGTGAAAATGCTTCAGAGACCAGGGATTAGCCCAAGCAGCTGGAGATGTGAGACCCTGCTCTTCCTTCGACTTCCTTTGTGACTGTGAAAAGGTCTCTTTGGACCTGCCAGTACTGTATCCCAATGTCCACCCCAAGGCCACACTCCGGATGAGTCTCTGTCATTACAGCCAGGAAATCTGTCAGGCACAGGCATTGCTTCCCCCGACCTAGGGATATTCAGGCAGGGAGCGGGCACACTTCTAGCTGCCGGGAGCACTGCTAGCTTAGCCTCTGGCATACTCCCACCTATAAGAAGGAAATTATATGTGTTGGCTCTTCCCAGTTATGTGAGATAAAGATGGTAGTGATTGCATATGAGCATCACATACCATAGTGCCTAATCTAAGTATCCAAAATTCCTGATACACATATGTTAACTCAATGATTGATAGACAAATGGTAATCTTTTGAACTGGCAGAGGTAAAGTGATTCAAAAGCAGGCTGGGTAAAAATTAATGTTAGTATCAATAAATATCCAAATCTTTGCAAGTTAGCAGATCATTCCAGTTCTTTCAATCCAATAAAATCAATTGTTTTCCATGAGAAATAATAGCATAATTAAAATTGAAAACCAACTAAAGGGAAAATTTCTTAGAGGACAGGAAGAATTTCTGAAAATCAGAAGCTATATGTTTTTTCAAATGTCTAAAAAAGAAAACACACAAAAAGTGTAAGTAACATTGCAAGGATCTCAGAAATTTTACATATTTCATAAAATGTGAACAATACAGTAAAGCAGGTATTTGGTTTAGATAAATATTTTTAAGAAAGGAAGAACTTGTTTTATGATTTACTACTTAAAATTTTCAAAAAGCAACAGGACTTAAAACTATGAAGTCAATGGTTTTGTCATTGACCTGAAAACTTCACCGCTGTGGCCCTGGAATTTGAAAATGGATCTATCTACAGATAAACCAAATGATCTCAGTAGAATTCAGGTCTGGCACACCACTGTGCAGTATCAGTGCTCCTTGTGAGTACAGGAAGTGATCTGAGAAGAATAATTCACCATCAGCAATAAATAAATAAATAAATAAAATATTCCGATCACTGAAGTGGTTGCTGTGTAATATCTGCTTCTCCCTCCTGTGAGCTCGAAAATATAGTTCCATAGGGGAAACATAGGTATATGCTGAGTTAGCAGAAAAGGAGACATCAGTTAGAAGTGACGCTCCCATGCTTTTTCTTGAAGAACAACTGTTTCCTGGTTTTGTTGCCTTTTTTTGTTGTTGTTATTACAATGTGAAGTATGTGCAGTAACAAAAGGGAACAACAAATATCTTTGAATGTGTTTACCCATAGGCTTTTGAAGACATATATATTGAACAGCGCAAAACTATCAAGACCATGCTGGAATACGCTGACAAGGTCTTCACTTACATCTTCATTCTGGAAATGCTGCTGAAGTGGGTGGCCTATGGCTATCAAACATACTTTACTAATGCCTGGTGCTGGCTGGACTTCCTGATTGTTGATGTATGTAGTATATTTCCTAGGTGTTACTTTTATATTTATCTGATTTTTTTTTAAATTACTTACTCTAGTTTACTTTTCAATTTTAAAAGTAAGGTAGGTGGAAAAAAAAATCAATCTGTCTTTCATTTTACACTTACAACACTGCCTTCCTATACCACAGAGTTAAGAAAGACTGGAAATTCATCTGCTGACAAAACAACCTCACATGGCAGTCCCACAAGCAGTTAAAGGCTTTATCCCAGCACTGTTGTTGCAAGAAGTAGTGCTGTTCTCTGTTCTGCCCCTGGCAGCTCATTCCCATCTTCAGACCCACCTTCCCCCTTGCTGTACTCTAAATAGTATCCAGCATTTAGATAGGTGTCTGGTCCACCAGATGTGAGACACTCATCTGGATTAAAACTCCCCTGGCAAAAAAATTAACATCATGCCCAAAAATTTCAGCATATGGCTGAACTAGGGTTTTACAAGAAATGCAAGATGTATCTGTAGCATCGGTGGTATGGCTTACTTAGTATTAAAAGTCCAATGAATGTTACTGAACTTGCAATCTTCACAGCTATGTTTGAAATCAGTCTCAATAATCTTCCCTGCAAGGATTATCTAGTAGTTATAACTCTACTGTGCTGTTTTGTGAAATGGGGGAAACCATTTCTTGATGTACACTGCAACTAATGAAGAATTTAAGAAAAGTAATGTCCTAAGTATGCCCCCTTGAGAAAACCTCCAAAGTGCAGAAACAGCTACTGTTTCTGCAGTCTGTGAAGTTCTGTGTGAGAAACTAAAATACTCTGGTTTACATGGTTACAAAACCACAACCAGTCACTACATTTTTAAGACAGAAATTTCTGGTAAAACTTATATGAAAAACAAATATTAAACAAGCTCAGTTTTAAAATTAAGATGCATTTTGTCTTGGTTTCAATGACTTGGAAAAAGACACTCATTAGGTAAAAGGTGAACTTCATAAGCAGTTACTGACCCAAAGAATTACTAAAACTCCAGCAATTTCTGAAGGAGTTCTCAGCATGCAAGGAAGGCTAATCAAAGCAGTTAATTTTCTTGAGCTTTGTTTTGTGACTGGTGACTACAACCTTTTTGATTGGTGTAAATTATGGATTAAATATATCTAAGATTCAGCTACAGATAACCACGTTCAAACCTGTTACTCAAAGAAAGTATGCTCTCTTTCAGAAACTCTTTTGTTCTTCATTATCTAAATTCTTCTCATAATGGCTACCTAAGTGGCACCTATGACAAAAAAAGCGTGAAGAAGCATGCAAACAGACACACCAGTTCTCTTTCTAAACTCATTTTCACTAATATTCGATCTTATTTAAATCACAGTATCCCAAACAGCCATCTCGTGAATGTGAAAATTTGAATACTTTGTGGGAAGGTGTAATGTATATTCAAATGTCTGAATAAGCTCATGATTAAATCCTGGATTTACACACCTGGATATTTTCTTTAGTCTTTAAATTATGGCAGCTTGAAGGTTTCCAGTAGTATGATGAATGTGCTGGAGAAAGAAATTCAGGTTTTGGAAGGACCTAGTTTTGTGGGTTGCTAGATCTCAGAATTGACTAAATACAGAAAATCTACTGATGTTTAAAAGCTAAAGGTTTCACATATAATGCTTGGTTTAAATATGGTTCAAAAAGAGCACTGTCCTAAAGTTCTCTTTACCTGATGAATTGTTCTTTATAATGAAAGAGTACATGTGATCATTGTGCTATTTTGGTCCAATAAATAGGTAAGGAATTAGAACAGGGTAATGGAGCATTTAGGGGAAATGGGAAGAAAACAGAAGGTATTATTTTGGACAGGAGTCATAGCAAATGCAGAGAATATGGTATTTCTCACTGAGGTAATGTAGGGACATAGAATACATAAAGGGCTGTGGATATGAGACTTTAATACACCTGCTGCCTATGAACTGTTCTTATAAGGTCTTTAAGAAACAGCATAATTGAGGTTAATAGCAGTCAGGCAAAAGGATTAGTCAGTGTAACTGAATATAGAAAAATTAATCCTTTCTACCAACTTCCAGAGGAGCAATGTTGCTCTGTGACCCATCTGTTAATTCAAAACAGGCTTCAATCATTTCCCTTTCAGTTGCAGGCAATCAAATGGGCATTATCAGCTATAATTACTGATCCCAACAGCATTGTAGAACAAAGAAGAAGTGAGAGCAACACCTAAATTGGTGCAAAGGAGAGATTAATTGAATTTGCTTTTTGTGGTTTTAAGTGCCCTCAAGTCACTAGCAAAATATGAAATTCTGAATTATTAATGTTTCCTGATATTGATACCTTGTGGTATTTTTGTTTGTTTATTCACCTATCCTACTCGTTTTTCATATTACTTCTTATGTTGTGGGGTTTTTTTGTTGTTGTTGAAAAGACTTCCTATTCCTGAAGAAAATGGTCCAAAATTAGATTATTCTAAAGAAGTTTATATCTCACAGCTGTGGTATGTAAAGTAGTATGTACAATATAATAATTTTTACTTTCCTGTTTTCATATAGGTCTCTTTGGTTAGCTTAACAGCAAATGCATTGGGTTACTCTGAACTTGGTGCCATTAAGTCCCTTAGGACACTAAGAGCTTTGAGACCTCTAAGAGCTCTGTCACGATTTGAAGGCATGAGGGTAAGACAACATGAAAGAATCTGAAACTATGCATGCATAGAAAGAATCCATGCATGCAGAATAAGGAATGACAAGTCCATGCAGAAAGGCTGCACTATCTTTTTATCTATTGCATATCCTTTACTAACAGATAAGCAAAAAGCTTCATAAATAAAGCTAAATCTATATGCAGTGTCACATAGAAGTTACATTCATTAAGGTTACTTTACTTTCTAGCCAATCTCAGGAGTTTTCCATAAAGGCTTTGAAATTTCCAACTATGAATTCTCTTAACAGACCCTTAATAATGAATAAAATGTAACAAGATTTTATTAATTTAATTACTGATAAACATATCACAGTATTTATACAGGGATCTAATTTAGCATTAGTTAATAAAGATATTTTCTGTTACCAGTTGAAGTCCTTCATTTTTCTTCATGTTTGATAAATCACCTTTGTCTAACCCCACTGAATTTTACTAGATGGTACTAGAGATATATTCATACCTGCTAGTGGCTTAAATCTATTTCTGAGTTTGGCTGGCTTTAAAAACAATTCAAGTTATTTGATTTCTCTGAGATTATTCTTTTTGTAAAGTAAATGCTTTTCTTATTTCAACAAATCTCTATTCAATATTCAATACAATGTATATAAGTTTATTTCTTACTTATTCTGAGTACCTTAGAGACCTTACTATTCATCTCACTCAAGAAAGCATTTTAACTTATTTTTTCATTTGTTTATACCTTCTGTTCCTTAAAGCCACTGAATACAAACTAACTCTATATGCATGTCATTGAAATATGTTTTTAGAGAATGCTTTTTGCTACTTCATGGAAACATAAGAGGAAAAAATGTGCTAATGAATTTCAACTCAGTTATAAACCAGTGCAATAGCCTGGAATATACTGTCTGAAAAACCTTTAAATACAAATCTAAGCTTAATCAAGCCAAATTGAGGCTGAGAGTTCTGTTCCTTAAATTGTATTCATCAGGCTACGTATCTCTACTTCAGAATGCATCAGAAAAAAAATACTGCTAACCAATGATTACTGGATTAATAAATTTCACTTTCATATAGGAAATTGACTTTTACAGTTCTGTCATCATTTGAAATTCATGAATTGATATTCAGCAGGGTAAGAGCTGGTCAAGTACTACAGAATGTACAATTTTTCATTTAAGTTTGGAATGACCATTTGATTTAGCCATTTTCTCTTTGTCTTTCTTTTCACTTACTGTTCATGAACATTCAGATAAATGTAGTTCTGTGCAAAGAAATGTCGGGAAATTGCTGTCAGCTTTACTTGTCTAATAACGTTCAGGTCAGCTGCAGGAGGACTGAGAGACCAGTAGAGAAATTACACAGGGACAAGAAATGCAGCTCTTTAGATGAGGTTGGAAAAAACAGATCATTTCTAGAAAGATAATGTCAAAATTGATTGCCAAATGTTTTATTCCATTTTTCTGTATCTTTACATGTTTGCCTTAGTAAATTTTCCACTTAAAAGACTTAGGATGTTCATGCTCAAAGAAAAGTACCCGTTATTTGAAATGTATTTACTCCTTCGCCCTGTTTCTCACTGAATAACTATGAAACTATGCCAGAAGCCCAATCACATGATAGAATTTCAGATACACAACATGAATAATTCACGAGCAAATTACTGTGTAGGAATCACAGACAAGTCTGGAAAAACAAAAAAGGTTTCAGCTCTGTCCTCCAATATTAATGACAATCAATGAAGTACCTGATTCCAGCCAATTAGCAAATTTGACTGGGCAACAGTATAGGCCTTATCTTTACTATTAGTTACATGCACTTCTGAAAATGGCTTTTCCAGAGCACTTGGCAAGTATTCACAACAGCTTATTGACAGATAGTAGCATCACTTTATGAATGACTCACGAACAGTAAAAAGATTCAAATAATTGACCAGCTCGTGATAAGACAATAGTCAAATTACAGTATTCTCAGAAACTGAGTTCATTTCATAAAAATCCATAAAAGCAGATTCTTTTATCTGCCAACAGAAAGTAAGAATAAATCAAACCTCTTTGCTTTCTTACATTGCCTATACCTACACTGAGCTGTGACAGAACAAGCTGAGTTTTTATTCATAGTTATTTATAATTTTAATGTTTACCTCCATTTTAAAAACTGCAAATTTTGCCTTGAAAATGTAGGAGATCATATGTATTCCACAAAATCCCTATATCTAAAAACCTGTGCAACATTTTGTAAAACAATCTGCTAAGTTCTCAGCTATTGTAAATCAATCTTTTTCTTAAATAAGTTTACCATTCTGGTGAATTGGAAGAATACAGCCTTTTAATAACTATTCTGTTATCCCTGAATATGAAATGTACTTCACTTTTAAAGTTATATTCTTATAAGTCTACAGTTATACTCTGTAGTTACAACTTAATTTTGTATTTATGCTGTTTCATAAATGGGATAAATTCTCTTTCTAATGTGAAGATATATGAACCACTTGTGCCAAAGCAGGGTAGAAGTGGTCCATAGCCTGTGCTTGCCTTGAGCACAAAAGTGAATTTTGCCATATTAAAGTCATTTAAAATATCCACTAGCATACTGAATTCTGAGAAATTTTAATACTTTCTGTAGTGAATCTCGAAACCAACTCCACCCAGATGCTGGAAGGCAAAGTAAAGAATTGCTTTAATTTAAATTTCTGTCTTAGGGTTTATATTCTCATCTCAATTAGTGTACATACAGTCAGAAGTACCTGCAAACTGAGATTTGAATATACCCATTGCTTTTTGTTTAGCTTTTTAGTACTTGCAATATAATGCTTTTGCGCTAGTTCTGAATTGGTATGCTACTTGTAAATGTAGAATACTGAGTATACATTGCTTTGCTGAGTTAGAGAATTAAGTGACAATAAAGCATGCATTTGTGTCTAATTTCACAAAATAAAGCATGTCATGCCGTGCTTGATTTATTTATTAGAGAAATAGTAGAAGGCAGCAAACAATCTGAAATCCACTTGCACTTTCAGTTTTGCATGCCTTATGCATATTTCTGGCTGATGGCTTTAAACATTTACTGTATTTCAAATTTCCAGTCCAATTTCATAACTTGTGAAACTAAATTAGAGTATTTGATGTCTTAAATATCCTCTAAAATTCAATGGCTATTCCTTAGATTCCCTTACCAGGAAAGCGGTAATGAGGCATTTTCAAGAGTACTCCAAACTTCATTAGTAGGAAAGACATGTTTCTCATATGATTGAGTTATCAAAAATAACATCAAGTGTCTGTCATTACAGATTCACAACTAGTAACAGGCCACATATTTCTATTTCATATAGGATACCCTTTCTTCAGCTTGGATGGGGTGGACCACTGGTTCCTCCCCTTATCTATATAAAAGCCACAGTATTTCCCCCTTTTCTACCCTTAATGATTACAGTGTGACTAATCACTACATTATGTATTTAGGATTAGAAAGAAAGAAAACCTTATTTGAGAATCCAAATAGGAGCAAAAGTAGATTATATATATTCACCCTACACCCCCTTCTTAATTACTTTAAATCTTTGGAAACAATCAAATTGAAACAATTCCAAATTTCTGATGGTACAGAAATATCAGGAAGACTTTTGAGAAAATCAGTATTGTTTTTTAGAGTTATCTGAGCTCTTTCTGCAGGAGAAAGGTACCTCAGCTGTTTTTAGGCTTTTAGATCTCTTTTTAACTGAGATAAAAACCAGGTTTCTTTAAAAATTTGAATCTGGCTTTCTCATTGTTTTGGAAAGGTCTGTGCTTTACTCTGTTACTCAGTTAATAGCTACATACATTCAAAAATATCCCATAGGAAGTTTTGAACGTTTCTTGTAATACATTAAGCACACCAAAGCACTATGACTTGAATAGTCACAAATACAGATATTTATATAATTACAGTTTATATTTTTGCATAATTTTTTAAACCCCTATATGTTACATTAAGTAAATCATTCCCAAGTGTATATAGATAACATGAGACATCACATAATAATCGTTTCCTGGAATCTGAGTTCAGTCTTCTATGGCCTGTGTTGGGAACTAGTTATTGTAATTTTTATTAAATGCCAATAACAGTAGTATTTTGGTTGTATCTTTCTTGGAGTTTAGAAATGTCTTGCAGGAGACATGTCAGTGATATAAAAAATTTGCATTCATTACCAGATCCTTAGGAAAATCCAGTTCTTAGATTATAGCCCTTGCAAGCACCAACTGTAGAAGGGTATTGTTAGTGCAGGAGGTTTTATAGCTTCAGTGTAAATGATGTATAAACAGAAACAGAATTAACTGTAAATTTAGCATCTTATCTCACAGTTAAGAATCATGCATTCACTCTCAGGAAAGTGTATTCACTATCTTCTACAAGTTTCTCTTAAATATATATAAATATATATAAATATATATCAACAATGCTTGTTGATCAAAAGATTATACACTTTAAAGGGTTTTTTTGAGGACTGTGATCTTACTCATTATCTTTGAGTTTTAAGGAAAGTCTATTAGAAGTGTTATGTCTCCTGAAAAACAAAAGGTTTATAAACTTTGATTTAAGAAGACTCTCTGTACAGATGTTAAGAGGGCATACAGGAAATGTCTTAGCATTTTGAGATTTTTCTTAGACTGTAATTCTACAATAAGAGAGAACTTTTGAAGGAGTTTCTTATATAATTGAAACTGATATGAGTTTTTCTAAATTTGTGTTTGTTGTATCTTGAAGAAAATCCTTACTTTTAGGATAAAAATTTGAATGAGATAGATAATATATTTACATTTTAATTGAAAATGTTAAAGAACACCTAAAGGTCAATAACATTGCTTTTATGCAACAGAAAGAGCAAAAAGGGTTGTTTTTTTTTTTCACTGTATCTGGTGAAATTCGAAGATAGTGTTTCCACATCTAATAATTACTGTTTTGATGCCCGTGTGTATTTACAATATTGACGAGGTGTTCTCAAACAAATGCAGCCATATGATTTTTTATTACTTGG